AATCACTTCCTGCAAAGGGGGAGGTTGGTAAACGCAGGCCTCCTTCCTCCTGTGCTCTCCGAGCAATGCCTCTGGAGAGCTTGTCCAAAAGCAAGAGTGGCTGGCTGGCCCCAAGAGCAGAGGCCCTCCAACTCAAAAATAATAAGTTATTTGGAGGTAGGTGAGAATCCAAGCTCTTTGGATTGATGATTATAAATAGCACCTGCTTATTAAACACCTACGCTGTGACTGTGACATTTGGCAAGTGCTTTAACCTTCCTGAACTATTCCCAACCCCACCCCCACCCTCACCCCCGCTCTGTGACATGGAGATTATAATGCCTAATAGGATTGTTGAGGTTGGTTAAAGAGGTTGCTTTTACATTCATTATCTCATTGAATCCTCTCAGCGACCCAGAGAAACAGGTCTTACTTGGCCCCATTTCATAGCTGAAGACACTGAGGTCCAGGTGTCCAGTTGTTCACTCAGCATCATGCAGCGGATCAGTGAGAGTCAGGTTTGAGTCTGGATCTTGCTAATCCAAAATTCACGTGCTCTCCGGCGTGGTGAAAGGGAAACCAGATAATGGAAAATACTTTCGTGTCTCCAATCCTTGATAACATTTCCTTTCAAATTCCCGAGGGACAGTGATTTTCAAACTTTTATTTGTTAATCTGGAACTAACCAAGAAAAGAGCAATTTCCCCCTAAATGGTTTCAATCTTGGCGGTTCTTTCACCTTGGAAGGACCTGAGAAGCAGCAAGATCTGCTTCTTCGTCCTGCCTCCGAACAGAGTCCAGAATTTGTTTCAGGAAGAACAGTCTCCGTCAATGGGTGACATGTCTGGGAACAGATAGTGCTCAGGATTAAGGGGGTGCTATTCACTGAGGTGAATTGACTCCCAAGCTACACCCTCACTTATGAGAAGGTGAGTCACACCAATTCAACAAGAAGGAGCTTGAGGGAGGAATGATGGGAAACCAAAGTGCATTGCTTGGGGACCAGCTGAGGGAGAGGCAGAGAAAATGAGTAGCAGGGAAAGGGGGTTGTGCAAAGAGAACCAAGGACTCTAAGAAACAGCACGGTCAGCAGCACTCAGCCTGTGATGATGAGCCAGCCTCACACATTTGCTCTCACACATTTGCTCGGGCAGCCATCATCAGCCCTGGGTCTTCAAACAGGTGGAAAATGTACTTCCTGGGCAGTCTGTTAACTGCGTGGGTAGCTGTGCCATGTTAAAGAGGTGTGTGTCTACAAATAATGTGCTCACATATAGAAAATTTCTTGAAAATCTAAAATGGAATTCGGCTTGATAATGAGTTCACTGTGAGTGAGGAGAGGTCTCGTTCCCTTCGCATTGGGGGCAGCCCTGTGGGTAAAAGGACCCCCCACTCTAGGTGGGCTGGCCCTTCGGAATCCCAGCCATCACTGGCTTCACTGTCCCTTACCACTTCCTAGAACTAGGAGGAGGTGTGCCTGTAGAATAACATCAAATTAAGGACAGTCTTCAAATCAGATAAAGATTATTATTTGCGTTGAATTAGTGCAAATAAAGTGCCATGTTTTACATGAAGTCCAAAAAATATTTTTTTTAAATTGATTTACCTCTAATGTAATAGTGTTCTGGCTAATAATAAGTTGAGCTGCATTTAGTGACCTTTTGATTTCTTCTTTTTTTTTTTTTTAATGAAAGAAATTTGCTAAGATAAGCAACTTTCTTCTGTCATCTACAGGACTGTCTTCTTTTAGCCATGTATTTCTTGCTCAGCAAAAATGACAGGGACTCCAGATGTCTGCTTTAATAATAAAGACAGGTGTCCTTTGAGTGATTGATGAAACCTATATCGCTTTCCGATTCAAATCGTTTGAAATTCTAACATGTCTGATATTTAGAGTGACATACGGGTGTCCTTTTTTGATAAGTAACAGAAAGTCAAAGACCCTTTCCCACTGCGATTCTAAGCACAGCAACCTCACTGCTCCAGGTCAATCAGCAAAGCGTTTCTGTGCTAAGGTTCCACAACCCTTAACTTAAGGAACAACTGCCAGAAAAGCTGTCTCTTGGAAGCTGCAACCCTGAAAAGAAACACCCCAAATGCCCAAAATATTCGGGGACGGGGGGGGTTTGTATTGTTGTTGGCTCCCCCTGCTCCCTTAGATTGTTGTTTGTTCTTTTTTTCAGTGACCTTCTGGCCTTGTCCCAAGAAGCCCCCTGGACTGGTAACCCCCTGTCTGCATCCTGGTTTTATTAGATGGACACCAGGCGATAATGTACAATTTAAAAACAAAAAACCACGGACAGGTTTGTTTCTGTGACGGTCAGCGATGTTTTGGCTATTTTGAGAATGTAGGACAGGGTTAAGGATTAGTACCAGCCTTCTCCTTTCTGTGTATCAGAGCCGCTTAGCAGTAATTAATCAGGACATTAGGTTTTGTACTCTTGGTTCAGGTCATTTGCCTATGAGCTGCTCAAGCCTTTTACAAAGGCACACTGCATATGTTTCCCGGTACCTTTTGGAGAGAAGATTTAAATTGGCCAGATGAATAATACTTTGTTACAAGTGTTTCGCCCTAGGCGAAAGGGTTTCTTCATATTATCATAGCCCGGAGCTGCAGCCCCTCCAGCTTGATGTGACTGGTGTTATACTGTCACATGGCAATGATGTAAGAACAGGCCTCTGTGTCAGGCAAATCTGGATTTAGGGGAATTATAGCAGATGTTGCAAAATGGCAACAGTTTAGCAAGTTCCTTTTATCCCACGGTTGGGAGGCAGGACCACTAAGTGTACCAGACAGAAAAGAATGTTTTCTTTGATCCTTGACACTCTAGGGTAGGGACTTCCCCGGTTAGGGAACATCGTTAACGATATAGTTATACAGTCACTGATGGATCAGAATGCAGAATTAAGGGTTGGGCGCCCCTCCCCACCCAAGTGTTTGTTTTTGATGGAGCTTAGTATTTGTGGTCATTTACATTACAAGCTTCAGAACCCCTCTAAGGTTTTTATTCTTAGGAAAGGAAGCTTAATTCGCTGGAAGAAACTAAATAACCATAACAAAAACTAACTTGCATGGAAAAAAATATGTTAACCTTGGCAATCTTATAATGTTCACATCTAGTGAGTATGAATGAGCGTATTCAACCACGTTGAATAACAAGGTGCACTGCCTCGTCAGTGTTCATGCAAGCCTTAGTTTTTTAAGAGACAAAGCTGTTTTCAAAAGCTGTGGATTCCTCTGATCTGGATTCTTTTCTATTGCATCCTAATAAAATTAATTCAGACCCATGATCAAGGTGACTAGGTAGACAACGGTGACGTGGAGACAAAAACAAACACAAAAGCCATTCCCCAATAGAAGTGATGCCAGGCTTGGTGTATGTGGTTCGCTGTGGTCTGGATGAATTTTGGGGACTATCTCTGAGTTTCTAGAACCTTCTTTTGGAAATGCAGTGTTAAATATCAGTACAGCAGGTTGTCCTCAGTACTTCATTACGTACCTGCAAGAGACAGCAAGTGCATGCTAGACAGCAAGAAACAATTTCCACTAGGTAAAGATTTCCAATGATTATTATTAAAAAACACATGCATAATGAATTTGCTCTTTTTTTTAATGCAAATGCTTATTGATCATTTCCATTGAAGCATTAGACAGTGAAATGTGTGCAAACATTTAGACAATTTCTTTAAAGGGCTTCTATCTTTACGAAGAGTATTATTTAAAATATTTTTACTTGCAAATTATGATCACTGCTGGGAGCCCTTGAAATAATCAGCATATCCTAATTTTCTCAGACAGTTTTTGATTAAAATGAAGAGAAAAAAGAATAAACATGAGGTGTGTTTAAAGAGCATCAATGGAGGCAGCTCTATTTTGTGTATCTTTTGAAGATATCAATGGTAAAGACAAACACAAAAGCAAGCTGAGAGAAGACTGTCAATAGTGTCACATCATTCTTTATAAAATACCGTTTTAATACCTTTGTGCATTTCATTTATTTTACCACCATTTGACCTGAAGAAAGGGTTTGCTTACGCAGTGCAAGGACAAAGGGTACTGAGGAAGATTCTGAGTTTTGTCATTTGAATAATAGATATTAGGCAGAAATGGACCATAATTATATATATTGCTATTCCTTTAATAGGATAAGCGTATGTTCTCAAAATACATGTTCTAGCTAGAGATCACTGTAAAGCCCACATTTTAAAAAAAAAATGACGTTTTGTTTAAAAATAAAATGTGGCACATCCGTCCTACTAAGAGCTTTCAACATGGGAACTTCCGTAACAGTGGCTCAGCCCTAACTTTGAGTTTAAGATTCCATGATAAAAGGCATCCAGTTTTTGGACATCATTCATCTAAACCCCTGACCAAATCCTTTCCCATGATTTAAATTAACCTCTTAATCACCTAAAGCCAGGTTAGTAACAGTAGCACATTTTACATTTGGTTACAAAGGCAACCCTAATGATTGGATCAAGTATTGAGCTACACATATTGGTGTTTCTGTAGACATTAGAAGAGTGTGTGGGTGTGTGTGTGGGTGTGTGTGTGTGTGTGTGTGGGTGGGTGAGTGTGTGTGAGTGTGTGTGTGTGAGTGAGTGTGTGTGTGGGGTGTGTGGTGTGTGTGGGGTGTGTGGGGTGTGTGGAGTGTGTGTGGGGTGTGTGTGTGTGGTGTGTGTGGTGTGTGTGTGTGGTGTGTATGTGTGGTGTGTGTGGTGTGTGTGTGTGTGGTGGGGAATGAAAGTGACTTTCTGGAACCTTTGTGTTTAAGAGTCTGGGGGTGGGGGCTTTTAAAAAAAAAGGTTTCCAATAAGAGGTTTTGTTTTTCTTCCCCCCCCCCCGCCCTTGAAATGCCTATCCCACTATCTCAAAACAAAACAAAACAAAAAAACAAAACCCACAGAAAATGCGACTCTTTTTCAGAAATCCCAACACAACTCTCAACCCTGCAGGCAGGCAGCACACACATTTGTAGCTCAATCTGAGAGCCATTTGGGAGAGTTTGCCGCGTGGCCGTCGCATCTGTTGTGTCGCTGTTCAATAATTCAGCTAGCCAACGTAGGCAACGCAAACACTCCCTTTTTCATATTTGCATACTTGGAATTTGGCTTTTTGATTCACGGTTGTTCCCATTAGCTTTGAAAATGCACGTCCCTGTCTAGTTGCGTGTTTTGCTTGAGTGAGCTCAAATTATGCTCTTGACTCAAATATTATTACCAGTGTAAATACTTTGGAGATGTAAGTGTCTGCCCCTGATGCGGGGGGTGTTTGTCTTATTGATTTTCATCTGGCGAGTTTAAAATATGAGCAAACTTTTCATGGAGGGTTCGGGGGCATTTGTTTGAACACTCCTGGAGTAAATTGGAAATGCAACAATTGTTTAAAAAGTGGCATTGTCCGTGAAAAGATTTAGTGAGGGATGAAGAAATTTCTTGAACCTAAAGACCTAATCTGGTGATCCAATTCTCCCCACTGTGTCCATTCCCGTGAAACTCCATTGACTCGGCCCTGTCCATCGCCAGCGCCCCGCATCCCACCTAGCCAATCCTCTAGATTTCCCACATTGTCTCCCCTTTTGTCTTCTCCGTCCAAACAGAAGAACAACAGATAGGGTTCTGAAGGGCAGGGAGCATCAGGAGCTGCAGGAGAATGGCTGCGATGAGGGTCAGAGTCCTGCCCCTACTGCCAACAGTTACTACGGTTTGTGCTGCCCGGCTGAACAGTGTTCAAAGGCTTTGCTGGGCTTTGTTCCACTGTGTAGGGATTAGGCCTGGCGGTCTGAGAATTTGCCTTCTAATTAAAAAGGATAAAAGATAGAAGTAGCATTAGTCTAAAACAGAGCAGTGATACTTCACAGGCTGATTTCTTTTTTTTTTTTTTTGAAAGTCACAAGACAACGCTGGAAGTTGTCGGGATATTTTTATTTCTTCGGCGTGCCGTTCCAACGAAAAAGGGAAAACTTTGGAAACTCTTCCCAGCTATTGTGCGCGGCCCACAGAGGTCTAATTGCATCTAAAATATCGGCTGTTTACAGTGAGGCCGTGTGGGTGAGGGGGTTTGCCGTCAGCGTTGGGGAAGGAAGGCGGCTCCCACAGCCTCCTTCTTCTTTTTTTACAGTGCTGGCAAGAAATTAATTCTCCCAAAAGTGAATTCTGCTTCTCACTCCACCCTAGTGTGCCTGGCGCTCAAGCCTCCCCGATGCCTACCCTGCCTCTTCCTTTGTCAGGGATCAATCACTCCTTTCATCTCCTTGCTGCTGTGGACACTATTTTCACCAGGTGTGAAATGCAATTAAGAACTAATTCTGGCCTCACAGTCTTTTTTTCTCCCCTTCTTCTTCTTTTCTTTATAGCAATCTGGTGGATGGCACGTTTGAATCTTTCACATCAGCCCTGTTCCCGTTCTGTGCCGGTAAATGTGATCCTGTGCCTACACTGGTTCAGAAGGAAGCTGTGCAGGGACCCCAGGGCAGGCTAGCAGCCTCCACACGGAGGATGTACCGCCGAGAAGCGTGCTTGCCCGCCATCCAGCGCACCCTTCCTGCCAGGTCCAAAGAACTATATGCTGACAGGAGAGACACAACTGGCACTTGTTGAATTGCACAGGCACCTGGGAGTGATTTGCCAGGTACTCCGCAGACGGGGTCTGCCCACTCCATCACAGGAAGGAATTGGAGGTGAGACTTTCTGTTAGAAATGCTGATGAGATTATATAAGTTAGCTGAGGTGGGGTTTTTTGTGTGTTGCTTTTTTTTTTTTTAAGGGGGAAAAAAGGGAGGAAAGAGTTTTGTGGAGCACTTCAGAGCTTTCAAAGCCACTGAGCTCGGATTGCACACAAGTATAAAGGAATGCTCCCTCATTCCCACAGAGCTCATGTTACGTCATGAGCCAAAGCACTGAATTTCCTATTTTGCACTTATTTTTGTTTTCCATCTGCCCAGCATACACAAGCACAGCTCCCTTAGAGAAGGGGTGTTTGAAGTATGAGATTATGAGACACATGTAAATATACTTCTGCTCACTTTCTTTAAAAAAAAACACCCATATTATTTTATTGTCTCGCTTGCTTTTATCAAATTGAGCAAGTTATCAATGAACCCCATTGGATATGAATGGAAACATGGTGACTTTGAGAAGGACGCAGAGCCATCTCACCATCCAGTGTATCATGTGGGGGGCTAAGTCCATGGCTAATGTGAATATTGTCCTCATCACAAGACAGAATTAAGTATTTCTGATTTTCAAAATGTTAGCTTGTTTGTTTGTTTTTTCCTTTTAAAACCTCAATGGAATTAATATGCCAGTGGTTGTATTTTAAAAATGCATAGATTCATTCTGAATCGGTAGGAATGATGGAAGAAACAACGCTTGTGAAATAACCCATATTGATGTCCATCATCACCTCTACGTGACAGAATGGAAAGGGTCTGTCCAGCTCTGAGATCAGGGAGAGCCATGGGAATGTACATTCAGTTTCAGCCCTTTCTTTTCAAGATGACCATTCCCCCGCCAATTTCCCAAATGTAGCAGAGCGGGGCCTGCCAGCTCCACTCAGAGGAAAACAATGATAATAACCTGATTTAGATGTTGAGGAACATCTGCAGAGATGACAACACCAGTAGGTAACAGGGAGTCGACGTTTCTGTTTGCAGTCCCAGAGTCTGCTCAGCATTTAAACTACGTCAGCCAGTTGTACAAAGCCAAGGCGTTTTAAGAATGTAATTCACAATATTTTTGGCTTCTATTTTCCACCAGCTTCTGGGTAATATATTTCATAAGAAAGCGGTCTTTGTTGTGTTTGTAATACATGTGTAACCTGGTGGGAAGCCGAATAAGAAATGTATATTATTTGCATAACTTGAATTAAAGAACCAAGTGCATTATTGGGCCTTGAATGTCTTAAATTTAAGTGAGCTGGCTTAAGAGTAATATTACTCTATTACGGTTCTGTAATTCATATAATGAAATCACATGGCTGAAAAAATGTCAGGTTTTAACCATGATAAGTGGAACCTGATTTTTGAGCTCCTTTTTTTTAATGAAAACAGTAATTTGTAAACTGGCACATGTGTGCCCCTTTTTGTTTGCGGACAATAACAGGCGGCTGCATTTGCATCCTTTCATCTGCTCTCCCCTCCGTGCTCGCGAGAGAGGCCCATGTAGCCTAATGGTGCGGGCACCAAGGACCAACAGCCTCCTGCCAAAGCCGGGACCTGCTTCCCAGACAGAACCCCTGGAACGTTCGGGTCCCTGTGCCGGTGTCTGTGTCCTGACAAGCTCCTTTACCGTGACCTGCGTCTCCTTCAAGTCCACCCTGGGCGCCCTCGAGAGGGTTGTGCTGGGCAGGTGCCCCGTGTTCTCCCACTGGGCTCCATACACAGACAATTAGGAGACGTCCCCTCACATGGGTGGTGCTAGTCATCCTTTAAATCTTATGGGGGAGGGATGTTTTCCCTTATTGGAAGCAGAAACCCTAGCCGAGTTCCCTCTCCCAGCTGGGAAACAAGCCTTTGGTCTTAAAATAGCTGAAGTTACTCAAGGTTTGTCTACAGAGAACAGGACCATATATGCATCTAATGATTCTATCATGGAAGTGCACTTTTTTTTTTTTTTTGCTTGGCTGAGTGTTCTTACAGCAAAGGAAAGATTATTCTTATCTCTCTATATTTGGGAATAAAGGTTATAGTGTATAACCAGATGTCAGAATGCTCCCTTCTGGCCACACCAGATAGATATGATTATTCTATGTTAACTATTTTACGCCACATGACTAAAATACTTTTTGGAAGGACTGAGGAATAACTAAATTAGTACGCTGATCGAGTAAAAAAATAAAGGAAGTGATCAAAAATAGTGAAACAAAGAGAAATTGTTTTAAGATATAGCACATTTGGGACATATAGTCATATCTGTTATCAAATAAATTCAAAGGCCAAATACAAACTGCATTGTCTCTTGTTAATTTGATCTAAATTCCTTTTACCTTTTAAAACTGGTTAATGGAGCCGAGAATGCAACACTGTGGGCATAATTGTAATAGCCGTTAACTCTGCATTCTAAATCACGCTATTGAAAAAGTAATAGCTGCTTTTCATCTTAATTTTTTAAAGCAAGGTCTGAAACAGATCAGCTCAACAGGAATCGTCCTTTCTGAAGATTAAAACCATCACACTAGTTCTGCGAAGGGCATCCTAGAGAGCCTGTCGTTGACTTTCTGCTTTTTGTTTCTGGAAAAAGGGCGTTGGGGGAGGGAAGGCCTAGGAGAGGAGCTATTGGCTTGGAGAATAGACTTGGACGCGTTGCAAGCTCTGGAAACAGATTTCTTTATCCGCAAGCCAGGCTGGAGCACATCCTCGGCCTGCGATTGGGAGCCACCTTGTCCAGCCGAGGAGACCGCCGTCCCTAGGAAGGCATCTGAGCGGGATGCTTTGTCACTCACGTCCACGTCTCTGGACTTTTCTCAGCCTCAGGTCCCTCCTCAGCGAGACCGTTCCAGGTTTGCCTATCTGCGTTTTGGTGATACGGACTGCTGTCCACCTGTGTGGGGCTGAGATCACACGACTCCTGTCACTGGCAATGAGATTTGGATGGAAACCAAGGTCATAAGGTAACTAGCCAGTGCTTTATCCTCTCCGCCAAGCCCTTGGTAAGGGATTCTCTTTGATGAGGAGAATGGTAGTTGGCTTTTCCAGAACTTATATCCAAAAGAGTCATACATAATGCATTTGCCTCTGTCCTACAGCTGCCGGCACATGCCTGAAGGCTAATGTAAAGATTAGTTAATGACAAGAGCTACTTTAAATGAATCAAATGCTTCAGGAAGCAAAACATGATCCTCCACTAACAAAAAATAAAAATCACAAAAGCAAATACACCTACTTTCAACTTCTGCCCAACAATTCACGGCGTCTCTTTTTTTTAATGCAAGGGAGCCTCTGGCCTGTAGGACCCCCCTCACTAATGGTGCCTCTTTCTCCGTGGTCTTATCCTGATGAAATAATGTACAGTACACAGTGCCCCTCCTACAAGGTGTAATGAGTTCTGCTGATGCAAAGAATGATCATATCTGCTGTCTTGGTAATAAATGGCTCCACCCTGGTGCCTAATTGCAGTGAAAAGTTGTTTGTGGTTTTTCACCAACAACCTGCCTTTGGTTCTGAAGATTGTGTCTCTTCTTTGCTTGCCTGAGCAACATAGACATGAAGCATATGATGCATTCGCTTGCCACAGGTTTGTATTAGACACTTGACCCGGTCTGCAGTTTTTCCTAGATACAATCATTACTTCATCTGGGCATCCAGGAAATCTGATTCTGTCTTGTTTCTCCTGTGGCACCTGGTTTTGTTGCAATCCAGGCCCTCCTTGGGTTTCAGAACATTAAGAAAGAGAAGTAACATAAAAATAAGAGTAGCCGAAATGGGTTTGGCTCAGTGGATAGAGCGTGGCCTGCGGACTAAGGGATCCCAGGTTTGATTCCGGTCAAGGGCATGTACCTTGGTTGCAGGCCCATCTCCAGTGGTGGGTGTGCAGGGGGCAGCTGTCAATGTTTCTCTCTCATCGATGTTTCTGGCTCTCTATCCCTCTCCCTTTCTCTCTGTGAAAAATATCAATAAAATATATATTTTTTTAAATGGGAGAGAAGGAGCTGAAGGAAGTGGTAGGTTACATCAAAACGGACTCCACATTGATACCAACCCAGAGGTTGGAATCACACAGCTGGTGTTGGAGTGGCTCTGACTTAAACCCGGTATTTGGCTTGAAAGCCCTGCCTTGAGCCACGATTCAATGAGCAACCAACTACCATCTCATGGAAAGAAAAGTCCTAGAATGGCCCATCCTCTGTTTTTAAGAAATATGAGTGTTTAGAAGCACAGACTATAAAGCCCAACTGCCCGGGTTCAAGTCTTTTACTAATTTTATGATGTGTGGCAACCTTACCTCCCTGTGAGTTTCCTCATCTGAAAAATGGGAATGGTAACACGCCCGTCTCCCAAAGCAGTGTTGGCAGGATCGGAGGAGCTGGTATGTGAGAACTCTCAGAATGGCACTTGCGTTGACATGGTCAAAACTTAATAAGTGTCCAGTTTTCTCTTGTTGGTGTTAAGTGTCTCATGTTGATTTTAAAATATATATATATTCTTTTGATTTTTTACAGAGAGGAAGGGAGAGGGAAGAGAGTTAGAAATATTGATGAGAGAGAAACATTGATCAGTTGCCTTCTGCACACACCCCATTGGGGATGTGCCTGCAACCAATGTACATGCCCTAGACCAGAATTTAACCTGGGACCCTTCAGTCCGCAGGCTGACACTCTATCCACTGAGCCAAACTGGTTAAGGCTGATTTATTTATTTATTTATTACAGTTTTATCATTGTACTTTCCCGTGGCATCAATAGGCCACTCAGTTCACTCTGTCAGGATCCCTGTCTACTGTCACCAAACTGTTTAGTGATCACGTAGCCCTTCCTGAGGGAAATGGCAGGGTCTCCTTCCCTTTCTCAGAACTCTCCATCAAAATTACATGTATATTTCAATGCCTAGGAAGGGCCACCTGTTTGGGTTTAAGAACGTATTGATTATAACTTAGTAATTTTAAAATCAAAGTGTAAGACTCAAAAGCATCTTAAAATTGGCCCAGAAATAAAATTTTAGAAAGGGAAAAGTATCCTACCGATATTAAACCTGAAGTCAAACTCCCGCAACTTATAAATGGAAGCACTCCGTCACTTGTAAACGTGCTTAGCACCGCTGCGCATAGCCAATGGCGGCACGGCATACGTCCTCCAGACTTCACTATGTGTTTCTGACTGTGATGTTAATGGCTCCTTTGAAGAGGTTAAAAGCATATTGAGAGCAGCAATCGATGCAACTGTATTTAGATGTCGAGATTTTCTCAAATATTAGGCTACACCTTAATCAGAAATGCATTCACCAGATTACAAGGTAAAGGACACTTGTCACACAATAATAAATATTGCTTATTGTCTTTGATGTTAACCTAATCACAGAGGGTTTTGTGGGGGGGTTTTTTTGTGTGTGTTTTTTTAGTACAGCACCTATAGAGATTATCTTGATATCTTAATTCTAAATGAAAATGTATTTATAGAAGACGACAGAAATTGAAGCAAAATTTTCAGAAATTTGAAGCCTGACTGACTGCTTGTTACAATGAGCCACATTTTTATTTCAGTGCTCTTTTTGGCCACATTGAAGTCATGGCCAGTTTCCCTGGGAAGTCAACAGAAGTTTGGCAGGTGCATAAGCTCTGCAGGGCAGGGAACAAGAGGAGAAAGGAGATCAGAAGGTCATTGTAAAATTCCGGACACCTTTCTGCAGCTTGAATAACTCAGACTCAAAGAATGACAAAATTTGGGAGAATGCTGAACTGGAGGTTGGCAGGTTTGGTAGTTTTCTTCTGGCTAAGATCTAGGAACAGCAGGAGGCTACTCTGCTGTTGACATAAACAGGATTCCAGACACAAACTATTCCAGACACAAACGGGGCCTCCCCTGCGAGTGGGGGCTCGGCCACCCCTGCCCATGATGACCCACTGACACTGGGTTCCTACTGGGGTCTGCAGACCTGGACCCAGCAGTGGGCATGTCCTTTGGGAATAATCTGACACATGAATGAGGAAAACCCGAAGCACAATGTGGATTGTTTTTTTTTCCTTTCTTTCTTTCTTTTCTTTTCTTTTTTTTTTTTTTTTTTTTTTTTTTTTTTGCATTTCTTCGTTTTGATCCTACTGTTCATTCTTTATCAAAATGCCTTTCTCCGATTTTCTCAGCCCAGCAGTTTGAACGTTTGCATGAAGTAGACACATATCACTGCATATGAACCGTGAAATGTATTTGAAAATAAATGTTTTAATTAAAATTGACATTTCTGAGCCTACTGCTGAGGGCAGCTGCTTTTTCTCTAAAATTACTTTGTCCTTCTCCATAGGAGCCCAATATAAGAGGAGTTTCCATCCCACATTAATACTAATTTAATATCAAAAGAACAGCATTACTGTATATACACAAATTTTCTTCTTGAGGTTGTTAAACCAGTTCAAAAAGATTACAAATGGGTTTTGCACTCTCATAGAGCATTCGCCTATTTTCCGAAGCGTGTGCACTTAACAAGATGGCTGTCCAAGATGGGTGGAATGGAAGCTCTCTCATATAGATCTCTTGAACCATGATCTCCTGGGTTACAGGTCAACTCTCCACCACTGAGTGACCACAGCCAGGCGGGGTGGTCACGTTTAAATAAAGACTCACGGAGGTGAGGGAGCAGTACGTGGTGACTAGAGAAGAGTGCTCCAGGAGGGAGGAAAGCAAGTGCAAAGGCCCTGAGGCAGGCCTGTAGCTGGCAGGTTTGAGGAGGCAGCTAGGAGACTGCGATGGGTGGAGTGAGATAAAGGCAGGGAAATCAGGCAAGGGAGGCTGTGGTAAGGCCTTTGGCCTTTACTCTGAGCCACGGGTGGTTTTCATTAGCGGTGACGTGATTTGACCCATTATTCTTTTAAAAAAGAATAATAACCCTGGGTGCTGTGTTAAGAACAGATCGTAGTTTTTTCCAGACACATACAGGTATTTAGTAAGTCTCACAACAGTCCTCCAGTAGCTAAAGTACCAAGAAGTTGAATGACTTGCCCAAGGTTATACTTAGAAAGTAGACGAGGTGGGTTTTCACACTCAAGTTGCCTGACTATAAGCCCTGCCTCCAAGCTGCTCTGCTCTGCTGCCTCTCCACAAACAGACACGGAAGTGATACATGCTGCCACAGAAAGGGCTTACTATCAATTGGGCAGCCACACAAAGGCATATAGGATATAACTTAATGTTGTGCTGATAAGAATATTAAATTTGACATCTGTTCCCAGACTTCAGGAGCCACCTAAAGACCAATGACTTGTCTTTTCCTCTAATCTAGACCTGGTCCTGCACCAAGTCATTCATATATATATATATATATGGAATTTCCATCCCACTTTAATACTAATTTAATATCAAAAGAACAGCATTACTATGTACACACAAATTTTCATATATAAATTATATATATCTCAGAGGAAGGGAGAGAGAGATAGAAACATCAATGATGAGAAAGGATCATTGATTGCCTGCCTCCTGCATGTACCCCACTGGGGATTGAGCCCACTACCCAGGCATGTGCCCTTGACAGGAATCAAACCCAGGACCCTGAGTCCACAGGCCAGTGCTCTATCCATTGAGCCAAACCAACTAGGGCTGAGTCTTCTAATTCAACCATCTAAATCAGTTAAGTGAACTCAGCACTCTTGATTTAATAGCCTAAAATGTGCCAGGATTTACACTAAGCAGGTGCGTTATCTTTGCCCTGAAGGAATTTATATCACAAATAACAGAGAAGCAGAGCATTGTTCAGTACAATGTGTCTCCTGAGCATCTCCACCTGGATGTCTTGTGGACACTTCACAGGCAATAGGTCCCCAATCAGTGACTGCTTTTAGTCTCTCTCTTGTAGTTTGTACGTTGAAAAGTGATACTTTGATTCTTCCTTGATATCACCTATTCTCTCATTCCCCACCTCCTGGCCAAGATTCCTGTCAGTTCAACCTCCTAAAGATTTTCAGGATGACCTTCCCCCTCTCCATCCTCTCTCCTCCCTTCCCCTCTTGCAGACCAGCTTTACACAGAGCTGAGGCTGGCAAACGCCTTTTTGTAAAGAGCCAGATGATAAATGTTAAGGGCTTTTCAAACCACATATAGTCTCTGTTAAATAGTCTTTCGTTTGTTTGTTTGTTTGTTTGTTTGACAAACCTTCAAAAATGTAAGAACTATTCTTGGCTCCCTAGTGGGTGCTGGCCATGAGATTACAACAGCCCTCAATACCTACCACTAGGCCTACCTGCCTCCAGGGCCTTCCCCTAGGCTGTCCTCCCACAGTGGCCTTCCCCGCCCTTATTTCTGTATTAGACCTTTTAAAGTCCCAAAGCTTTGGTTCTTTCCTTTTCATTTCAATCAGCATAAAAGCAGCTCATATTACTCTTCTCATTTAAAATTTTTAACATGCCCCCTATTAACCGTGGAATAAAATATAGATTCTTATATGCAAACAGGCCTTCTGGCACCATCTCCTATTACCTC